CGGCCTGCCTCGCTGGTTTGCCGGCATCCACGCACTGCTCACCAGCCAGAAATAAAATCAAACCAAGGCAACGGTCCCCGGCAGGCTGGGCATGACAAGCGGGGGAGGAAAGCAGCCTAAGGAGGCCCCCTTACAAAGAGGTCAAGTTTTACAAAAATAGTATTTTTCACCAAATTCCCATTCAGGCCTGAGGATGACAGACATGCAGAGACATCTCCATGCTCCTGCTGAGGGTCAGCCGAGTCTCTTCAGCAAAAGGTATTTTGTCAAGTTACATATGGGAAAATACACAGTAAGGTTTGGTTCTCAGGGCAGGGAGAGGAGCGACAACCAAGTCCCCTCCCGCTTTCGGCTCACTGCCTGCACAGGAGCTGGGATTCCCCCAGCCCTGCACCCACACATCCCCGCTGAGCCCTGGGGCACCTTACCTGCCACCCTGGTCCCGGGAAGCACCAGTGGCCCAGGAACAGCATGATCCTCATCCCACACAGGGACAGCCTCCCCACGCAGGAGCTCAGCGTGCTCCGTACAATCCACCCCCGAGGCAGGAAAGCCCCTGTGCACGCGGGGGAATTCAGAGGCACCCAGAGGTGCGTATTTATACTTCCAGTATGACTACCCCACTTCCCCTCATGCTTCCGACTGGACGGGATTTTAATCGTCAATTCCCACCCAAAGCTGGGGGTCATGCCAGGAGCACACAGTCCAACACCCACTCCGCTCGCCCTCTGGGGACACCCCACCACCCTCCCAGCTCCCCTGCAGCCCACGTGTGCTTCTAGAGGGGCAAACCCTCCCTGCAGCTGCCCGGGACGCATGCACGAAATTTAAGGTACTTTCCTAATAACGGATTCAAACTTGGACATCTTGGCTTCCAGCCACCTAAGAGTTAATTAGCACATGTAAAAAAAAAATATACACACACACACACGCACTTATATATATACACACACACAGTCCAAGTTGCAGGGGGGCAGAGCCCCTGGCAGCTTTCAGCAAGCCAACTGCTTCCCTGGAAGCTCATAGGTGGACCTGGCCATGCCATGGCAGCTGTCTACAGCAAAAGAAACAGGATGATTTTTCTTTTTTTTGTTTGTTTTGGGGTGTTTTTTTTTTTTTTTTAACTCTTCACATCAGAATCTCAGCTTTAAAACTCAGGACCAAGTGCAAAGTTGCATGGCGTCAACCTTTAAAACAGTTTAAAAGCTTTTTGCTTCTGTCTGTGCAACCAGCAAAAAGAAAAGAACCACACGATTAACTCTCTGCTAGAGGGATACACGGACAGGGGCCAACAAAACCATCCTGTGCCAAGGCACACCGCCTGCAAGCCATGCCGTGCTGGTGGTGTGCACTAACCACACGCAAGCAGGACCACAAAAGGTTTTATCCTTACCGAGGGCAGCAAATAGCACCTCTGCCTCAACAAGAAGCCTTGGAAAGCCAAGAGTAAAAAATCATGTTTGCAAATAGGCAAAGTGCTGCCCATGCATTTCTACACCTGCACGCCACGGAGCAGCAGGTCACCAGCAAGATCTCAGCGCAAGCCCAAGGCCCTGGATGCTCTCCACCGCAGCTGGACCATGGGCTGGAGCCAAATGAGGTCTCCAAAGCACTGGGGCAGCTCCACAGATGCCATCGCCTTGGATCCCATTTTATGCTTCATGTGCAAAGAAAGGGGCTGCTGTAGGGGGAGGAAGAGGGTCCCTGTCCAGCCGGCCGCTGGGCTGTGGGTGCTCCCACTGGGGAGCAAAGTGGGAGAATAACATCTTGCTAGGGATGTGCTTCTTCAGAGCTGGGTGCAGCTGGGACGCTGCCTGGCCACCTATCCCCAGCAAACTATACCAGGGTGCCTCCTCATCCGCAACACTATATTAATTCTTTTTAAAAGAGGAACACATACAATAGGAGCAGATTAATGGAAATAAAAGAAATAGTGCAGCCAGGCTCTTTAAATCTTTAAGATGGACCTGTTTGGTTCCTACTTTTCTCAACTGATTTTGATGAGGAACAGACATTGTCTCACAGGAAAAGTATTTCTCCCCCAGTTGGAGTCTCCATCAGAGACTGTTTTATCCGCAGACCTGCGTTAGCCATTACAGCACTAGGTATGAGGAGATTTACAGCCTCTGATTAGGAACAGGAGAAAGCCAGAGGTTACCAGCAAACCCAGCACCAGGGCTATAACACAGACCTGCGGAGGCGGCGAGAGCCTGCGGAGGCTCCTGCACCCATTTATTTCCACCTGTTTGGGAGACTCCCAGAATCCTGCCCCATTGCTGAAGCCTTCAAAAGCTCCACCCTCCTCCCCCTGCCAACTCCACACAGCAAACTACCACCACCCTGCTCCTCTGTTTCTCCTCTTCATGTGCCATTTACTGTCTAAAATCATTTCCCTATCACCTGTTCTCCCTAATTTACACCATGAAAGCACTCTATAAGCTGCTGCAAGTTGCTGCAGGTTTGCCTGCACCCAGTGGAGCTCTGCCTGCATGCCCGGCTGCCCGAGTGCCCGCCAGCTCCCAGCAGCATACGCCGGCTCAGGCACAGCTCATGCTAACTGGGTGCACAGCACCAGGCCAAGCAGACTGGTGTCCAGCCCAAAAGATGAGCACAGACAAGCTCATGACACCCTGCAGCGATCTACTGGTTCACGGTCAACGCCACTTTGACACAGGGCTGTGCATTTCTGTGCTGGTCCTTCAGCCCAGCTCCTGAGCACAGCAAAAGCATGCACTGATACAGCCAGGGCCATGCAAAAACCCCACAGGTCTAAAATAAGGCTTTGCAATTAAATTGATTTGCAAAAAAAAAAATTGATTAATATCATTCAACACACTTGTTGCTCTTCAAAGTAAGAGCCAACTTCTGATCCACTCCATACTCCTCGGAGAGCAGAATTCCCAGGTGCAGTCCCTGGCTTGCCGCTGACATGATACAAATGCGGGCGAGTTGCTGTAATTACCCCATGCCTTAGTTCACCTGTCTGAAAGGTGAGAACAAGAAGACACTCCCAGCTCGCAGAAAATACCGGTTTATCCATCCTTATAAACGTTTTAAAGATCCCAATAAAACACACTGCTCAAGTTCAAAGGGAGGACATGCTGAAATACGATTAACAGAATATTTGGTTTCTTAAGTCCAGAGTCATGTTACTCAACTTGTGGTCTACGGACCATGGATGGTCTACAGAAGACGTTAGGATGTAGCTCACAAAATGACTGCAAAAGACCTTATTAAAAGGCAATGACTAGTACCACCATACTACGCAGACAAGGCAAATAAGTAAAATGCTGCTAGCGCTCACCAGGGCACATTTAATTGAAGAGTATTGACAACAAAGCTAATGTTTAATTACACTAAATGATGCAAGTTTTTGGAAAAAACAGCCAAGTTGCCTCTACTCAATGCTAAATACAAGATAATTTTCCTCCTCAGACAAGAACAAAAGGTATATATCCTCCAGTCAACTCATGTATTCTGAAATAAAAGTTAAGGAGACCTTTGTTTATAATGCTTAATTAATACCGAGCTATAGCATTCACCTCCAGGAGACCAACCAACCCATTGCGCTTAAAAAACCCCAGCACAGACTTGTGTGCAGCGCAGCAGAAAAGCACGTTGCCTGTCAGCAGCCGTCCCACGGCCGGTAACAGCACTGACATGCCATGCAGCTCTAAATCAAAACCAGACCTGAAAAACAGTTAGAGATTTACCCACGCTTGCTTTAAAGGACTAGTGGAAGCAAAAATAATTAAGATGTGATGAAAATGGATAGAGAGAGGCTCCTAAGAAATGCACCACAATGTAACGGTAATGGATTTGTCTAATCAATATGTGCATGAAATTTTCTTGGAAGACAGTTGACATTATACACAAATATTTGCATGTACTGTATCTATTAAGTCCTTTCAATAGGAAAGCAGGCCATCTGCCATAAATTCAGGGCTCTATTCAGAATAACAAAGACGACGATGTCAGTGTCTGTAGCCCGGGAATCCACAGTAGCGTTCAATCACAGTGGGGTACAGAGGTTTTAAATTAAAATAGCAGCACAGGGTCAACAGGAAAGATCAGGCACATCCTGAGCTCCATGGCACAGAGGAGCAGTTATTTCAACCCCAGGGGTCAAGGCCCGTACCTGCATGTGATCTTAAAGCATTCCTCTTGCTTTGGAAGAGTACAAAAGCAAAGCCGGGCTGGCAGCGCCCTATACATCATGACCAGACCCCAAGGTTCCTCACATGCACCCCAAACAGCGGTACCCCAAACACCCTTGCCCTGGTCCCTAGCTCGCTCCAAGGTCTGCCCATCGACAGCAGCCCTCCTCCCTCTGCTCTTTTGGCCAGAAGACTTTTGAACGAGATTAATTTCCCAGCCTGACTGATGGTGTGGATGCACAAGCAATTACAGCAGCAGATCTGCGGGAAGAAGGGGCCTTGCAGCACCACGACAGAGCTGCCCAGGGCAGGATGTTACCCTTGTAAGAAGGTAAAATGGTCCCTAAGGCCATGGAGGGGATGGCAGAAGCTCAGGAGCTGAAGTCTCTCATCCTGGTTTGCTGCCTCCTTGCTGGAAACCTCTATGCTGCATCGGCTCTCCCACTGCAGCACGGCTCCACGCAGAACCGGTTCTGATCCCCGATGAAAGGCAACTTCTCTGCCCTGCTCCTATCACTACCCAAAGCAGCAAAGCAGGATTTGACACTTGTATTTCTCCTTTTCAGTCTTTCCAAGCTATTCTAGGCACGGGACCCATGTTTAGCTCTGCCCCAAGATAACCTTTGCCAGCATTTGTGTACAGATCTTGGCACCACAGCTGCATGGAGCAAGGTCAGAGGGTTGGATTTTGCCAGCCCCGCTCCTGGTTGTGTTTCGAAAGGCTGATTTGCCAGACAAGCTGCTCTCGGCCACGACACGCCACTGGCCTGATGCTTCTGGCAGCAGAAAGGGTGTGCTAACTGTGTGCTGCAACTCCTGCTGCCGACAGCCCTTGTTCAGACCCGGACCCTCAGCAGCACAATCCAGTGGCTTGCAGCAGATGAGACACCCACACCACCTGCCCCACCACGGACACCCCTTGTCAGATGAGCACTTGCAGTGGATCACATGCTGTTTAAGGACATCCCAGCCCTCGGCAAAGAGGCTGCAAGTGACCTTGTGACGGCTCCCAGAGGGGTACGTATGAGCTTAAATGCACAAGACCGACCCATTTCTCTTTGCAGGAGCGCTCGGCAGTCACTCCGCAGCTGCAGGGATGCTGTCTTATTAAAATGCACAAGCCACACACCAAGTGCCAGCCTGGCCACGGCTCCAGCGTCAGGGCACCCACAGCGTGGCTGGGC